TGATCCGTCCAGTAAGATCGGTGAGCCTCCTTTGCTTGATGTATTGGTGCTCCAAGATGGGGGAGGTACCTGCAAAAGAGACTTCGATGCCAAAGTTAGGGTTTGCATGAATAATAGTCTCATATATATAATGCACGTACCTTAGGGTGGTTTAGGTTTGCCTTGGGCCTTGGGCCTGAGATAGGGTATGTTATGATATGATATAGTTGAAGGGCGGATCTGGTCTGGGGCGAGATCCTCGGGTTCAAGTGTGATTTGCTCAAATACCGGGCTGACGTCGCGCAGCGCGTACCCGGGGTTGTTTTGTATTGCTAATCCGGGCTCGGAGCCCGGGTGCAAAGTACGGTTAGTACAATAATTAACTTATTTTATTTAAATAATAATTAACTTATTTAATTTGAATATTATTTAACTTATTTTATTTAAAAAATAATTAAATTTTTTATTTAAACAATATTTAACTTATTCAATTTAAATAATAATTAACTTATTCTATTTAAATAATAATTAACTTATTTAATTCTATTAATAATTAACTTATTTTCTTTAAATAATAATTATCATATTAATATTAAAAATTACCACCACACATTTAAAAAAAATCTAAATATAATATTATTTATTATTGCAACATTGATATATTTATTTTTAAAATTTTAAAAAATTTAATTTGTTAGTTTAAAAAATAAATTCAATTTTTAAAATATAAAAAAAATGAAAGCCCTGCTCGAAATATGAAATTTGGGTCCTTGAAGATCGAATTCTAAAAAAAACAAATCTCATATTTCCAGGATCATGATGGTAAGAATTCGGTTCTTAAATTGAATTCTGACCTAAAACAAAGAACAAGTTTATTTTTATAAATAAAGTGAGGGAAGTTTATTTTGGTTTTTTTTATAAATATTATATCTGTAAAAAATTCATCCTGGAGCATCATGATCCTAAATTATTAATTGTTATTAGTGGAAATGTATTTGAAATTAAATAATGATTAAGAGGAGGTCGCTGTGTCATGTGGTAGATAAATCCAAATCTTAAGTTTGACTGAACCTAGATAAATGAGAAAATAAAGTAAGAAAATCTTGAGAAGTGGGGGCACCACTTTCCCTTATTCTCCGTAACCTGTCCTTTCTCTCTCTCTCTGTTTTACCCTTTTTTTCCTTCACCACTTTTATTATAATCTGTTTTAGCTTTTAATTAACCTATCGGGTAACTTGTATATGCATTCAAGTTTTACTTTATCTTTGTGCAACATTTTTCCTGCAAATCAAGGTCTGTGCTCTTTCTTCGTCTTCTTCCTTACCAATCAACCCGTTGTTGCAGATGATTGAATCCGAATCGCAAATAGCAAATGTTGCTAAAAGATAGTCTGCCATTCTACTGTTTCCCTTACCCCACCATTGATGTGCATGTTACGTGCACATGATATTCAAGAGTTTTGTATCTTTGTCCTGCATGAAACATCCCCACAAATCTAGCATTTGTTTTTATTTAGCACAGTGGCACTAGACAACCTGAACATCGTACCTGCACGCAGTCGACTGTCAAATTCCAAAAGGTATTTTCCAAATCCCTTGTGCAGATAAACAAGGATGTTGTTTTTTTGTACTTTCTAATGCACGCCCTCTGCGGCATACGGTTTCTATGTGTGTCCTCGCTTCACACGTATAGATAAACAAATAATAAATGCCCATTACAACTACTTTTTCTAGAGAAATTATTGCAAACTCCCCAACACATGAACAATGTGTGTTTCATAATGATTTCCATCATTACTTTTATATGAATTTTAGATAATTTAACTTAACATTAATGACCAAGATATTTTTAAAGCATGTACTATTAATTTTTTGCTCCAGAAATATCTTTTTACAAATGGTGTATCTACAGTATGATTAGTTCTACAAAAAATATATCTCTAATCTACATCTGTATGTTCTAGAAAATCAAACTCAAAAACATTTTATAAGTACGAATCACCTGCACTATTCAACTCACTAGTCATTTGCCAAGAAAAAAAAGTATAAAATTCACCATTTTATTTTTCCAACTCACTACTCACTAGGCACTAGCTTGCATAAGCTTCTTGAATTTCTCGTGGCCCTTTCCTCTAATTTTGACACCGGGTTCCCCGTTTGTACATTTTCAAAACCCAAAGTTTGGGTGATAATTACGTCTTTGAAACCGGAAAGCGATTTGGACCACTTTTTTAAAGGATGGCCAACATTAATCTTTTTTAAATTTTCACTTAAAAAAATGTGTAATATAATACCCCGCGACGATTCCTTCCCCTCACGTAATTTCAGCTTCCCCAAGAAGTCCCCTAAAGAAAACGTTGAAAAAGCGACTCAAAATCAAAGCTATTAGCTGAGGGTAGGTACACGTACAGCCACACAAGTCTGAAAATCGGGACAAGAAAGGTAAAAAAAGGAAGCCACGCCCCCCTCACACTCTCGTGTCCTATGCGAAAAATTAAAAGAAAAGACAAAAACAAAATATAGAAATTCCTTCTGGTTTTGGATTTGGCTTCACACGCACACGCTCGCACAGTGGTTGGTTGGTTTGAGTTTTGAAATATTGATTAATGCCAGGGGAGCATAAGCACAAGGTAAAACTAATCATTATTTTCCATGAAGCGAGAGCGAAAAAAGCGAAAAATGAAAAGAGAGAAACCATACCTTACGAGGAAGATGTCATGGTCACCAAGAGGAGCACCAATAGTAGTGGGGTTCGTTGTGATTGCCTTATTCATGACCGTACCAACAGCAGCAACAACAACCTCCGACGCCTTTCTGTTGATGCGCTTCAAGCAGTTACACGTTTCCTCCGATCCCAAAAACTTCCTCTCCGACTGGGCGCCGTCAGCATCAGCGTCAGCGTCAGCGTCCCCGTGCGCGTGGCGCGGCGTCTCCTGCTCCTCCGCCGAGCCCCGCAGCGTCACCGCTCTCGACCTCACCGGCGCCGCCCTCTCCGGCACCCTCCACCTCCCCACTCTTACCTCTCTCCCCTCGCTCCAAGAACTCATCCTACGTGGCAACTCCTTCTCCTCTTTCAACTTCTCCGTTTCACCCTCCTGCGCGCTCCAAACTCTCGACCTCTCATATAACAACTTCTCTGGCAAGTTTCCCTTCTTAAACCTCACCCCGTGTAACCGCCTCGCTCACCTTAACCTCTCTCATAACCTCATCACCGGCGGGCCTGGGCCTGGCCTTTCACTGGCCCAACTCGACTTATCCGGAAACCGTGTCTCTGACGTTAACCTTCTCTCTTCCGCTCTCGGAAGCTCCACTCTCCTTCTGCTTAACTTCTCCGACAACCAACTCGCGGGTCAACTCAGCGAAACGCTCGTTTCCAACATCTCTACTTTGGACCTCTCTTGTAACCTTCTCTCCGGGAAGGTACCGCCTCGGCTTGTAAACGACGCCGTTCAGGTTCTCGATTTCTCTTCCAACAATTTCTCCTCGCTGGATTTCGTCACGTGCAAGAGCCTCACACGGCTGAGTTTCGCGCGCAATGCGCTCTCCGGGGACGAGTTCCCGCGCGGGTTGAGTAACTGCAACAATCTCGAGGCTCTGGATCTTTCTCGCAACGAGTTCGCCATGGAGATTCCGGCGGAAGTTCTTACGAATTTGAAGAGTTTGAAGTCTCTGTTTCTCCAACACAACGAATTCTCCGGCGAGATACCGAGCGAGCTTGGAAGCCTCTGCGGAACTCTCGTCGAGCTTGATCTCTCCGATAACAAGCTCTCCGGCGCGTTGCCTTTGAGTTTCGCCAAGTGTTCTTCTCTGCAGAGTCTGAAGCTGGCGAAAAACTATCTCTCTGGAGACTTCCTCGATTCCGTCGTGAGCAAGCTTCCGAGTCTGAGGTATCTCAACGCGGCGTTTAACAACATAACGGGACCCGTTCCGGTGTCGCTTGTGAACTTGAAAGAGCTTCGGGTGCTGGACCTGAGTTCGAACCGGTTAAACGGCAATGTTCCTTCGTCGTTTTGTCCTTCGGAGTTGGAGAAGATAATCCTGGCTGGAAACTACCTGTCGGGGACGGTGCCGTCACAGCTCGGGGATTGTAAGAACTTGAGTAGCATCGATTTGAGCTTTAACAGCTTGAACGGTTCGATACCGTGGGAGATTTGGGCTTTGCCTAAGCTTTCCGATTTGATTATGTGGGCGAACAACATCAGTGGGGAAATTCCCGAGGGAATTTGTGTCAAGGGAGGGAACTTGGAGACGTTGATTCTGAACAATAATTTAATTTCCGGGTCCATTCCTAAGTCGATTGCGAATTGCAGCAACATGATTTGGGTTTCGTTGGCGAGCAACCGGATGACCGGGGAGATACCGGCTGGGATTGGGAATCTGAACGCGCTGGCGATTCTCCAGCTGGGGAATAACTCGCTGAGTGGGAGGATTCCACCGGAGATAGGCGAGTGCAGGAGGTTGATATGGTTGGATTTGAATAGTAATAACCTAACCGGGAGTATCCCGTTACAGGTTGCTGAACAAGCGGGGTTAGTTATCCCGGGGAGGGTTTCGGGGAAGCAGTTTGCGTTTGTGAGGAACGAGGGTGGTACTAGTTGCAGGGGTGCTGGTGGGTTGGTTGAGTTTGAGGATATTAGGACGGAGAGGCTTGAAGGTTTTCCCATGGTGCATTCGTGCCCGTCGACGCGGATTTACTCCGGTTGGACCGTCTACACCTTTGCCTCCAATGGCAGCATGATCTACCTTGACCTTTCCTACAACATGTTGTCTGGGACCATTCCTCAGAATTTGGGTGGGATGGCCTATTTGCAGGTGTTGAATTTGGGGCACAATAGGTTAACCGGGAGCATTCCTGAGAGTTTTGGTGGTTTGAAAGCAATAGGAGTGCTTGATCTGTCTCACAATAGCCTTCATGGCTTCATCCCTGGGTCATTGGAGAGTCTTTCTTTTCTCAGCGACCTTGATGTGTCTAACAACAACCTTACTGGGGTGATTCCCTCTGGAGGTCAGTTAACTACTTTCCCTGCCGCCAGATATGAGAACAATTCTGGCCTTTGCGGCGTGCCATTGCCAGCCTGTGGCAGTTCGAGTCGCTCGGTCGGTGCTGGGGTTTGGAAGAAGAAACAGCCTGTTGCAGCTGGGGTTGTCATTGGACTGCTTTGCTTTCTCTTGTTTGCGCTTGGGATTGTGCTGGCTTTGTACCGTGTGAGGAAGGTTCAGCAAAAGGAGGAGAAGAGGGAGAAGTATATAGAGAGTCTTCCGACTTCTGGGAGCAGCAGTTGGAAGATTTCCAGCTTTCCTGAGCCTCTGAGCATCAATGTTGCCACCTTTGAGAAGCCTCTGAGGAAGTTGACCTTTGCACATCTTCTCGAGGCTACTAACGGCTTCAGCGCTGAGAGCTTGATAGGTTCTGGGGGGTTTGGTGAAGTGTACAAAGCTAAGCTGAAGGATGGTTGTGTTGTTGCTATCAAGAAGCTCATTCATGTGACGGGTCAGGGAGATAGGGAGTTCATGGCTGAGATGGAAACTATTGGGAAGATTAAACATAGGAACCTGGTTCAGCTGCTGGGCTACTGTAAAGTTGGAGAGGAGAGGCTTCTTGTGTATGAGTTCATGAGATGGGGAAGTCTTGAGGCTGTTCTACATGACAGGGCCAGAGGAGGGGGCTCAAAGCTTGATTGGACTGCAAGGAAGAAGATTGCCATAGGGTCAGCTAGAGGTCTTGCATTTCTTCACCATAGTTGCATTCCTCACATTATTCACCGTGACATGAAGTCCAGCAACATTCTTCTTGATGAAAATTTTGAGGCCAGAGTTTCTGATTTTGGCATGGCAAGATTGGTTAATGCCCTTGACACTCATCTCACGGTCAGCACACTTGCCGGAACACCAGGTTATGTACCTCCTGAGTACTACCAAAGTTTTAGATGTACAGCAAAAGGGGATGTTTACAGCTATGGTGTTATACTGCTAGAGCTTCTATCAGGGAAGAGACCGATTGACTCTTCCGAGTTTGGTGATGACAACAATCTTGTTGGATGGTCTAAGAAGCTTTATAAAGAGAAAAGAATTAATGAAATACTGGATCCTGACTTGATTATGCAAACTTCTGGAGAAAGTGAACTATTGCAATACTTGAGAATTGCTTTCGAATGTCTAGATGAGAGACCCTACCGGCGGCCGACCATGATACAAGTGATGGCCATGTTTAAAGAGCTTCAGGGTGATGCAGATAATGATATGCTTGATAGCTTCTCTCTGAGAGACACTGTTATTGATGAAGCATAGGAAGAAGATCTTTACATTTGGAGTGTTGTAACATCTGGTGACACTGATCTATCCTATCTGAAATTGGAGAAGGGTTTTTTCTCCTGTTTTTTTGCTGTATATAATACACTGAATGAGACCAAGAGATCAAAGGCAATCATGAACTGAATGGAAGGTTGAGTCTTGAGGTTACAGACAGAGTTCTATGTTTTTTTCCTGCAGATCTAGTGTTCAGTCACTAAAAATTGGTAGATTCATATATCTCTTCCTAAGAACTTCTGTCACTCAATTACAACCCCACATTTGCTGTTGACTTCATTATTTGGTTTGTCATTTCCGTTGGGTTCTGATACTACCACAGTTTTGCTCATTTTGTGTTTTGGTTCGTATTGCAACTGCCAATTTTTATTGTTTGTAGAAACCTAGAGTCTGGTGTAAATATAAATGAAATCTACAATAGTTTTATCATTTTTGGTTCTACGTTTAATTTGGGCATTATTCTTTTCTCATGTGGATGCATAATTGCATTTTATGATCAATGTTCTGCAAGTTAAAATAGATGTTGAAGTTTGGATGCCAATCAACAAACGCATTTTCTCTTTTCAGATTTCTTAGTAACTACTTACATTTCAATAGAAGTCATGGTAACCTTAGCAGAAAGGCACAGCCTAGGGACATGAGCACGGTCAAAGACTCTACGCAGAAAGTTCATTGCTTGTGTTGCCCTCTTCTATCCATTCATGCAGCAATGTTTCTTTCTTCTTTTTTTTTTCTTCCTTACACCTGTACCTTTTATTTATTCCAAGTCTGCTGCTTCCGATTTTCCAATTCAATATCGAGTGTGTCAAATGACTTGTTATGAAATAGATGTCTATTTCTGGACTCAGTTTGAGCTTTTTGTTTTCGTTTGATATTTTCAACACGTAGAGACTGTTATACTTGGGGACAGGGTGCCTTTCTGTCACGAAACTCAGTTTCCTCGTACCACTTGATTTTTGGCAGTGATCTTGATGTTACTTCATTTTCCTTTGATAAACGACGTGGAATTTTAAAAGACGCTACACTGCTATTAATATATTTTTTTTTCTTTTGGTGTATACCACAGACATTCTTTAACTGATAATCGAAGATTTATTTCTTTTTAGCAAAGAGATTATCGAAGTTAATATTGTCTTTCCTAATAAAGTTTTTTTCATTCTACACTGTTATTCATTTTCCCTAACCTATGTGTTTACTTCTAAGGGGAGAGCTTTTTTTCTCATTTCCAAACTCCATGAAATGATTTTATTCCCTTTGTGGACCCTGGGCTTGCTACCCTGCATATTGAATTTGTATTTTAGTCTATTTCATTCTCTTAATCCGTTGATATTTTAGGTAAAGCGCGTGTAGTAAACATCTTTATCCCAATAATAATGCATCAAATCTTGATGTTTGGCAATCTGTCTTTAGACTGTACAAAGATGAGTGAAACTGAATCTTTAATATATTCCTATCTAAACAAAACTTAGATAAAGTTTCATAGATATTTTTATATTGTTCTCTGATCGAAATTAAATCTTTATCTTAATAATCCATGTAATAAAAGCTTATTAAAAATTAGCAAAAATTATCAAAGTAAAATTCAAATTCTGATCGTAGAATGGGACCATTTTGTTCAGGTAAGAATGTTATAAGTTGGAAAATTGTAGAACACCAAATTTAAAGAATTTTATTTTCTGAAATTTAATTAGTAGCTAGCTGCTTGTGTTGCTCAAAGTTCAAAAGAAGGGAAATGTCCGGTATGCTCCCTTTTAACTTTACAAAAATGTGCAATTTAGCCTTGTGAGACTTTTACAAGCAAGATGGTCCTCAAAGCTCGCTACATGTTTGAGATGATGCTCATCGTGGCTTATATTTGTCCAAAATTTGATCGACTTTGGCACTTAAAGTAACGTGTTTAGTTAGAATTTTTGGTCTGTCAATAGTATGTGGTAACTTTTGTCAAATGGATGAGCTGTCATTGGGGAGGACTATTTGGCATACCTTGAGAAGATAGTACCATCTTATACGTTTCGAAATTTAAGGATGAAATTGCGTATCATGCAACGTTGGTTGGTATATAATGGACTTTAAAGAAAAAGCATCAACATACTACAGTAGAAGAATCCTTTCTAAATCTCCTTATTATGACAGTTTTATAAACCTTGATTGAAAACCAGAAACAGTTGCCGGGTTTGAGTTTGTTTAGACTGATATTGGTTAATGAGTAGATCTCCTTGAGGTTGTTAAATCAGTATATAGACATACATAAATGAAATTATAATGTCATGAAATAAGTTACAAAATAAAGTAAAAATAATATTTAAAAAGTAAAACAAATTAGTGGGTCAATCCATTTTAACCGATCATTTTTCTGACAGATTGGTGAGGTGGGTTGGGTGAGTTAAAATGTCTATATGTCTCACTAGATTGTGTCTCAATTTGTCACCTCTAATTAATAGAGTTATTTCTTGAAAAGTAACAGGTATGACAACTTGATAATCACGGTCAATAATAAGTTCTTCAAAGATAACATTCTTTATTTTTGTTGTTGTTGTTGGTAGTCTAATGAGTTCAATAAAATAAATCACTTATAAGAACTCATCTAAATATAAATAACTAATTCAAATGTTATAATAAAAAAATATATAGCTCACATTAATTAATTGGGAATTATACATCATTTACCACAAAATATTATGGCTTAGGTGATTATCATAGTCGAAGTTGATTATACCTAATAAAAAATACTTATATTATAGTTCAGGTGACTTTTATAGTCAGATTGATTACACCCAGTAAAAAATATTTAGTTGGTTAAGTTTATTTGTACTCTATAGGTATAATCTATCAACTCTCATATACAAATAATTCTCTCTAAGTATTATAGATAATAATCTCGTATCTCACTATAACCTTATTAAGCAATCATAATTCTAATAACAAATTAATCAATTTTGGTCTAAATTAGACATTGCTACATCATACAATAGTTGCAAAGATTGAATTAATATAGTTATATGTTGGAAGAATAATTCAAATTTCAAAATAGATATAGTGGATGGAGATTCAAGATGAATTATTTTATAAATTTATAATCTTTAGGGTATTATTTACATTTACAGATTTTATCAATTTGTTTTAATTTCTTTTAGAGACTTTTTTTTTTTAAAGAATTAAGATGATTATAGTATATAAATATTGTGTTATAGTTTAGCTCTCTATGTATAGAGTTAAGAAATAAAATTCTAGTGTGTTGCATTTAAGAGCTTGGGAGTGTGGATAATTTTGTTGTGTGAAGAGGAGTGTTTTTCCCATTAGTGACATTAGAGATATGACAGGGAATACACAAAAGTTTGAGATTTCATTGTTTGATGGTAATTTTTTTTTAATGATTTGGCATTGTACCATTCAAGATCTTTTAGTGCAGCAATGTCTTGATCAAGGTTTGAAAGATGAAAAATCAACTACTATCACAAATAGAGAATGGACTCAAATTCAAAAGAAGGCTGTGAGTACAATCCGCTTGGCTCTTACTCATGAGATCAAGTACAACGTGTTAAAGGAGTAAACATCAAAAGTCTTGTGAAAGAAACTCAAGAGCATTTATGTGTCCAAGTCATTGATCAATTGTCCATTGTTTAAAGATGGAGTTGTATCAACTCAAAATAAAGATGAGAGAAAATCTCCATGACCACATTAATAATTTCAATCATCTAGTATATCAATTGTTGAATACAAATGAAAAAAATATTTGATGAAGAGCAAGTAGTATTGTTGTTGGCTTCATTACAAGGTTTTACAAATCTTTGGTTTAGACGTTACTTGTAGGGAGGACATCATTGAAGTTGGATGATGTAATTGTTACTTTGAGATAAAATGATGAAAAATGAGAATATTGATACTGAAGTTCATGCATTGGTCATGTAATAGTCTGAGCAAGGGAGAAGTAATTCATGGAGACAAGGTGGGTTGAGAGGAAGATCAAATTTTCAATCATATCCAGAATGAGATATGAGTAACATGCAGTGTTACTATTGCAAGAAGAAAGGTCATGTGTAATCAATGTGTAGAGAAATGAGAGAGGAGCTAAAAAAATTGAGTTATGGGGAGAAATGATGAGAACTCCCAAGATAATGTGATCGAAAACATTAATAATGAAGATGTGTATTTGACAACTACTGGAGAAATTGCTAAATCAAAATGAGTAATGGATCAAGCCATGTTTCACACTTTAAAAACTAATGGTGACTCTAGTAAATTTAAGTTAGGAAATGGTGAAAAAAAAAATAATGTTAAAGGCATTGAGATTGTGAGAATGAAATTTCATAACAATATCATCCAAACTTTTGAAAATGTGAAGTATGTATCTTATGATGCTTCCAATATCATTTTATTGAGGGATATGACATCACAAGGCTACAAGTATGTTGGCTTAAAATGGAGATGCAAAATATATAAGGGAAAATGCTTGGTATTGCAAGGGTAGAAAAATGAGAAAAACTTTTGCTACTTGAAGGACAAGTTTTGAAAAGATAATTTTTCTATGAGACAATTATTTGGAAATTTTAATTAAAAGAAGATTTGTTGGGAGAATAATTCAAAATTTTAAATGGATGTAATGAGTGGAGAATCAAGAGAAATTATTTTAGAAATATGCAATCTTGAGGATACTATTTAAATTTACAAATTTTATCAATTTATTTTAATTTCTTTTAGAAATTTGTTTCCTTCTTTTTAGAATTAGGATGATTATAATATTTAAATATTGTATTACATTTTAGCTTTATATATAAAGCCAAGAAACAAAATCCTAGTTTGTGGGTTTGTTTGAGATCTCAAACGCATGGATAATTTTGTTGTGTGAAGAGGAGTGTTTTTTTTCCCCATCATTATACATTATAAGAGCATCTACAATGGGAGTTGCTTATAAGCAACTCCCAACCACTTTAAATAGGTCCTATTGTGTCACGTCACTTATAAGCGTGAGTAGCTACTCGAAAACGAAAGAAACGATGCAGCATGAGCAAGCGGAAGGTTCTTGTCACCACAACAAGGCATCTCCTTCTCCCAGCTTCAGCAGCTACTCGTCAAAGACGCTGACGGAGATCGCCGCCAGGGTGATCAAGGAGCTCCGCCACGACCCAAATTCGGCCTCCGACGACGAAGCGCTCTTCTCGCCATGGGAAAACAAAAACCAAAACAACGACCCGCCACAAGAAAATGACGACTTCGAGTTAGCCTTCGTTTCTAGAGACCTGGCCTCGCGAGTTGGACGACCAGCCCTCGAAGGTCGACATCCACCGGTGGCGACCCCAGCTAGCCGAGAAGGAGAGCGAGCGGAGGGAGTGGGCCAAGAGGGAGAAGCAGGACAAACGACCCATCTGTTGTTGTTTGCAAAATCTGTGTCCACGTTCCACCTTGGATCCAGATGAACCAATCAAACCTCTCCATTTCACA